AAATATCTTAGAGGTTGTGGTAGGCACCTGTAGTCCCAGCTCCTCAGGAGGCTAAGGCAAAAGGATCACTTGAGCCTAAGAGTTTGAGGTTGCTGTGAGCTACGATGTTATGGCACTCTACCGAGGGCAACAAAGTGAGACTGTCTCAAAAAAAAAAAGGAAAAAGAAAAAGAAAGAAATAGAAAGAAGGAAGGGAGGGAAGGAGGGGAAGGAAGAAAGGAAGAAAGAAAGGTGAGTAAGAAATAATTAAAAATAATACATCTCTTAGCTCGGCGCCCATAGCACAGTGGGGCCAGCCACATACACCAAGGGTGGCGGGTTCAAGCCCAGCCTGGGCCAGCTAAACAAGTGCAACAACAACAACAAAAATAGCCAGGCGCTGGTAGTCTCAGCTACTTGGGAGGCTGAGGCAAGAGAATCCCTTAAGCCTAAGAGTTTGAGGTTGCCGTGAGCTGTGACGCCATGGCACTCTACCGAGGGTGACATAATGAAACTCTGTCTCTAAATAAATAAATAAATAAAATAATACATGTCTTAGACTTTCAAGTCTTGCTGAGGATGATTACAGTGTGTGCAGGACCCAGTATATACAGACACCTAAAAGGAAACTTTTCCAAAGTTCCTAGATTGCACCCTGAATTTTTGTTCTGTTATTTGATTTTTTAATGTCAGTTACAACCCATTAAATTCATTTGATGGTACTGTAGCTGACACATATTTTTAAAAACTCAGCTTCACCTGAGGCGGGACTATAGCAGTGTGAGTCGAGTGCCCCAGTGTCTGCCCTTCTGGCCTCCTTTGGTCATGACTGCCATGCCCGTGCACACAGCCCCTGCCAGAATGTTCAAGCTACAGCTGCAAGAATCAGGCTTGAGTGAGAATCTCTCTCTCAAGGAATAAAATCCTGGGGTCACAAACAGGTCTGTGTTGTTGCTGTTAGAGAAAAAAGCAGTAAAGTTAGTGCAGACTGGAACCTGTGTCCTGAGGACTCTATTTATTCCCTGTGCTATCCTCGATGGTCTTCCAAGATGTTTTCTCTCCATTTGTCCCCCAATATTTTAACTAAATTTTTAATTCTGCTGGATCAGTCTGGATAGCTGTGGCTTTGGATAAGTGTAGGCATCAGTTTCTGTATCTGTGAAGTAAAGGGGTAATTTAACAGACTCTTAGAAGCAATTGATTGAAATCTGGCAATTGCCAATTCTTTTTTTTTTCTTTTTGAGACAGAGTCTCACTCTGTTACCCTCGGTAGAGTCATAGCTCACAGCAACCTCCAACTCTTAGGCTTAAGCAATTCTCTTGCCTCAGCCTCCCAAGCAGCTGGGACTACAAGCACCTGCCATTAACACCCGGCTCTTTTTTTGTTGTAGTTGTCATTGCTGTTTTAGCTGGCCAGGGCCGAGTTCAAATCTGCCACTCTTGGTATATGGGGCTGGTGCGCTACCTACTGAGCCACAGGCATCATCCAATTACCAATTATTTTTATCCAGTCCTTTTATTGGGGCCCCAGTTCAGGGGTTCTTATATCAATTCCCATATGTGTTAAAATCATAGCATGGGTTGCCTTGTAACATTCTGCAGTTAAGCCAATTGAAAACCATGGTGAAGGCCTGCCCCTGGCATCTGTGTGCAGATCTATACTTGGGATCACTGTGCCCCTTGCTGCCAGGGCAGAGCCCTGTGAGCTTCCTCCCAGTGCCTGCACTGTGCCAGGAGATACCCCTTTTCCAGCCCTAGACATCCACCCAGAGCTTCATGGCCCCAGGTTTGATTCCTGGGTAAATTATTAGCTCAATGGCTAGAGCAGAGTCTGAACAATTTCCCTGCTGTGCAGATGAGTCCGGTTTCTAAAGACTGATGTGCGGCATTATGTGGGAAGAATGTTCTGGGCATGAGCAGAACATTTAATGGTATAATGTGGAATGGCATGGAAGTATGAAGCCCTGGCTGCCTTCTCTGATGCTCTGGTTTGCCAGGGTGGGCAAGTGGGAGGGTAGAAAGGATGCAGCTGTGCTGGGGCAGAGATGGGCCAGACAAGACCAGCTGCTGCCCCAGTTGTGGGATCAGTGTCCTCCTTATTCCTAATTAAGTCCATTTAAGATGCGAATGACAAGTATTTATTTTTGTTTGTTTGTTTTGTTTTGTTTTTTTGAGATAGTCTCACTACGTTGCCCTTGGTAGAGTGCTGTGGCGTCACAGCTCACAGCAACCTCCAACTCTTGAGCTTAAGCAATTCTCTTACCTCAGCCTCCCAAGTAGCTGGGACTACAGGCACCTGCAACAACTCTTGGCTATTTTTTGTTGCAGTTGTCGTTGTTTAGCTGGCCCGGGCCAAGTTCAAACCTGCCAACTTCAGGGTATGTGGGTGGCGCCATAACCACTGGTCTTTTGTTTTAACAAAAAGAACATCAAGATCTTTCCACCAAGGAATGGGCTGTGTCAGAGGGGCTGAGGTTACCAGCTCACCCTGATCTGAGGAGGCATGCTTCACGTTGCTGGGTTCCTAACTTTTATATTCTGTTTAAATTGGGATATTTCTATGGAAGGTAGAAAAATAAAAGTCAGGTTTGCTGACTTCTTGGGTTTCCAGAAACTGCTGGTGCCATCTTCAGTGGGATGCTCCCTGGCGGGGTGTCCTCCACCACCTCATGGACATCAGGGCCTTCACCTTCCTGAGCTCCCTGCATCAGAGGAATTAGCTGGGGGCTGGGAGGGCTTTCCTGACCACCAGGTCCCTTTTTTACAGTCCAAGCTCAGGCTTGGCCACAAGAGGGCCAGCACAGAGCAGATGGGTGGTGAGTCTGCCTTCCCCACTGTCTTGTCCTGTGTCACATCATCCGGCCTGTCACTGAGGCTAATGAAGACACGTCAAGTCTCACTGGCTCTTATGTTGGCAGTTTCTAAAACAGTACGGTTGCAAGACTTTTTTCTTTGCTTTTTTTCCTCAAAGGGGACAAGAAGGTAGGACACTGAGGTTGGCCACAGTATTTGCTGTTGGTGAAGTACTGTCATTTGCAGAACTTTGGCCCTGTGGTTGCTGAACTGAAAGGGGACTGTTCCTGGCAGGGTAGCATAGCTGGTCTGGGTCTCTCACAGCTGCCCAGTTGTCTCAGTTGCAGTGGGGGAGCCCAGAAAGAGGTTGGGACACAGGTGCAAACCCTGGGTTTGCACTTGCTGTGGCCTTTGGCAGCTGGCAGACTGTGAGATTAATATGGTGGGCAGGGTCAGAACATGGCACAGGCTCCAGCTCATAGCCCTGCCTTTCTTTCTGCTCCCCATCATGCACCAGCTGTGTGACCTGGGTACTTTACTTGTGACAACCCATAATCTTTTTGTAAAGTAAAGGGAGTTGGCTCAGTGCCCATCACTCAGTGGTTAGGGTGGCTGGCCGCATATACCAGGGCTGGAGAATTCGAACCCGGCTTAGGCCTGCTATACAACAATGACAACTACAACAACATCAACAACAAAAAAATAGAGGCCGTTGTGGTGGGTGCCTGTAGTCCCAGCTACTTGGGAAGCTGAGGGCAAGAGAAACACTTAAGCCCAAGAGTTTGAGGTTGCTGTGAGCTATGATGCCACGGCACTCTACTGAGGGCAACATAGTGAGACTCCGTGTTTAAAAAATACATAAAGTGCAGGGAGTGATCAGACCTGCCTTGTGGGAGGCTTGAAGGACTAAATGTAATCAAGCCCAGGGCCTGGCTGGTGGCCAACTCTCGTAACTGACCATGTGTGTGACCGTCATGTGCCCAAGTCCTCTGGACCCTCTGTAAATAGCCAGGAGGAAAAAACTAGTCACAGGATGTGAGGAAGGAGGTGACAGAGCCGTGGTGGGGTCAAGGGTATCTGTTCTGTACTCTCCGATTAGAACAGCCCAAACTATGTCATTGTCTCCGTGAAGGAAAGATGGGGACTTCCGTGTGCCCAAGGGAGGAACGGACAAGAGGATGTGTCTGAGCCACATGACTAGAGGCAGGGCCGCTGCTCCCTGGTGGCTATACTGCATCCAGGAGGCCATGGGGGCTTCCAGCTTCTGGGTGATGGGCAACCTCGAGATTCCCCCACTGGGACCCATTGAGTTGGAGGCTGCAGCCCTGACCAGCATGGGGCTCCCAGGTGGGGAGTGTATGGTGCCCAGTCAGCAGAGACATCTCAGGTGCAGAATTTCCCAGCAAAACCCAAGGAAGCTCTTTGTCATTTCTGCATTTCCCATTAAAGATTTAAAGCTTTGGAGTGTGCATCTAGAGTTTTTAGAGACACATTTATTTATTTATTTATGTTTATTTTTATTATTTTTTGAAACAGAGTCTCACTATGTTGCCCTTGGTAGAGTGCTGTGGCATCACAGCTCACAGCAACCTCAAACTCTTGGGCTTAAGTGAACCTCTTGCCTCAGCCTCCCAAGTAGCTGGGACTATAGGCACCCACCACAATACCCAGCTATTTTTTTGTTGTTGTTGTAGCAGGCCCTGGCCGGGGTCAAACCTGCCAGCCCTGGGGCATGTGGTTGGCACCCTAACCACTGACCTACTGGGGCTGAGACACATTTATTGATACATGCCAGCAGAGTTTAAACATTTTATCCTTCCAACAGCATGTGACATAGAGGTGTTACTTCATCAGTTTCACAGGCAAAGAAACCAAAGTGTGTTAGCATGAGGTGGCTTAGCTGATCTGCCCACTGGTGAGAATGGAGCCTGGGTCAGGCTGGGGCTGGATAGTCTCAGCAGCATCCACCTTTCTGGACCATACAGCACTAGGCACAATGCCAGGGCTTAGGAAGAGCTTAGTAAATGCCCACTGAGTGAAAAATAGAAGGATTCATGTGCCAAAAGGGCATTCGGAAATGGGCAGACACCCAGGCAGGGCTCTGAAAGGCCTGCTGTGTGAATCGGCAGCTGGTAAAGCATCAGTTTAAAGGTCACTGTCACCGGCTGGTGGCCTACAGCCAGCCAGGCACAAGGGCTGATTGAACCGCTTCAGTGCTTTTATTTCAGGCAATCCCCCTTCCAGAGAGGTGCCTGCTGGGAAGTACCCATTCATAGTCACTGCGGACGATGGGCGGAAGGTCCCCGTGGTCCAGGCCTATGCTTTTGGCAAATACCTGGGCTATCTGAAGATAGAGTTTGATGACAAAGGAAATGTCGTCTCTTCACATGGAAACCCAATTCTTCTCAACAGCAGCATTCCTGAAGGTAGTGACACTTGGGGGACTAGCCCTCCTACCCAAATTTAGATGGCTGGGTATTCCCTCACTCCACCCCTTTTTAAAGAACATCTCAAGGAAAAGCTATAATAATGTTGAGGAATTTAGCTTCTCCCTGGAGTTTATGCTTCACGTGGAGAAGGAGATTTAAAACACACTCAAATGCCCAGATGCTTGTCTACTTCTCTGAGTCCTCAGCACCAGACTCTGACTTGTCAAAGCTCTTGGGCCTGATATGAAGAAGCCATGCTCAGCTCTGCCCAGAGGAAAGCTGGTTATCGACACAGAGGGGCTCAAACTGGGCAAAGTGGGGTTCAGGTTGCCCATACACTAGAGGCCATGTGCCTTGGGCAGGTTGCTCGGTCTGGAGGGGCCTCCATGTCCTTGTTTGTCACATGAAGGACCTTGGACCTTCCTCACTCCTGTCTGAGACTCAGAAGCATGTTTTTATGTGTTGCTCATGTTTAAGTCACACATGGACATATCCCTGTGCCTGTTTCTGCTCCCACCTCCTCTGTTCACCATGATCAGATCAGGAGGGTGAGTGTGAGGGCAAAGCACCTGGAGAGTCTGTGGTCACCACACCAGCCTCTCAGGAATCGGGGTGAGGACCACACAGACAGGACAGCCCAGTGGCACCTTGACAGCCAGACACCTGTCCTTGGGCCTCTCAGGCCCATAGAGCCCTGCTGCTCAGGCAGGCTGCACGTGCAGATGGGATGAGTTGATCTTGAGATGCTCAGGATGTCCCTCAGATCCACTCCAGTTCTTATTTCCAGGGAACAGAATATAGGTTCCTAAGGAAATTTCATGGTTAAAACCAAAATGTATCTAAATACGGTAAAGAAATGTGCACTTGAGCAGGAAAGCTAGACGGTTTTAGATCCCTTCCCCAGACCAGGAAGTCTGAGTGTGAAGTCTGCTTTAACCACAGGCTACCTTCTTTCTTTCCTTCCTTTCTAATTTTTCTTCTAGATCCAAGCATAAAAGCAGACATTAACAAATGGAGGGTAAAATTAGATAATTTTTCCACCCAGGAACTGGGCAGAACCATTGTCTATCTGGACGGCTCCACCCAGTCCTGCCGATTCCGGGAGTGCAATCTGGGCAACCTGATCTGTGATGCAGTGGTGAGGCGTCTGTGGGATGCACAGTATCCAGGGAGGGGGAGGATGTGGGAGGAACACAGGGCCAGACTGAAGCTAGGTGTGGCCTCACACTGAGTGCCTTGGTGAGGTCCCTGGAGTAGATCGGGTGATGCCACTTTATTGCTTTGCGAGAACTAAAACCTTCACGTCAGAGTCGTCTTCCATGTCTGAGTTTTGGATGTTGCTTTTTTTTGGTAAGATGATGTGACTACACAGACAAACTGAGGGGCCCTGAAGTTGTCAGACAAGTGGACAAAGCATGTCTGCTTGGCCCTAAGTGGCCACACTGCTCTCCCCTGACCTGTCCACTCAGCTCCCATGCCTGGTGGGACTGCTTTCTCTTTCCCAGCACAGAATGACAATACACAGCTATTCTGATAACAGGGAGCCCCTGGGCTAAGCCAGGTCAGCCATGGGAATTATCCCAGCCTGCTTATCTATGAAGGTATTGGCTGTGCTCTCTCCCTGGGGGCCAAGCCAAGCCCAGATCTCCAGGGTCCAATCTACCCCTTCCACTGGCCCACAGGCTGCACCCAGGGGACACATTTTTCTACTAGCGTTCAGCACTCAGGGCCCAGGGCCCAGGGCCCAGCGCCTGAGATATAGATGCACTCAGTAAATGTTTGCTGAGTAAGTGACAACGCTCACATCCCAAGATGAGGCTCCTGGCAGCTGCTCAGCTCCACATACACAGCCAGGGAAGCAGTTGGAGAAGCCAGTGTGGTTTAGAAGGAAATACCCTGGCTGTGCAGTGCATACACTCTGTTAAAAAGGCAAATGCATACAAGAACTTTTGATTTTTGCATTTTTTATGTTCGCATTATATATTTTATGAATATAACACTATATTCATGTTATTTGCTGTAATTACACATATGTTTTGCAAAAGGACAGTAAGAATGTACTTGATTCTCCCCACTTTCAAGAAGCTGTCACTGTGCCTTCAAAATTATGCTTTGGGATCTGGCTGGAGACACAAACGTGGAGGCTAGTGCTTGGCATGAGGTCTGGTGTTGAGCAGGCTTCAGGGCACTGCCCTCGAGCAAGGATGAGCCAGTCCTGCCCTCAAGGACCATGTACAGGGGCCCAGTCCTGACACCAGGGCTATGACCCAAGACAAGGCTTGCTGAGGCCAGCCAACATGAGGCCCCTGGGGTTTAGAAGAGGGAGCTGAAAGCTCCTGTTTCCAAGAATCTAGTACAAGACTGGTCACAGTATCATATTTTTGCTTCTTGGAGCATAAAACTAGTTCTGAGTAATTATAGTTGAGAAGTATCTGGGAACACAGGAGCAGGGAAAGGTGGCTTCGTATCCTTAGCAGAGCTAACCAGATCCCTGTAGCTGGTTTTAAGGAAGAAGACCCAAAACAGCCAATGTGAGCTTGTGTTACTGTTACAGATTGACAACAACCTGAGACACCCAGATGAAATGTTCTGGAACCATGTGTCCATGTGCATTTTAAATGGAGGTGGCATCCGTTCACCCATTGACGAAAGAAACAATGGTAGGGTCCCTGACCCCCTTCTCCCTGGCTCCCCTCCTCCTGGGCTCCCTCCCTCCCTGGGGATCCTCTCTCCCAGCCCGCCCCCCCCATCTCCCATCCCCACACTCCTCTTCTCCCACCTCCCTGCCCCCCATTCTCCTACCCCTCCACCCCATCCCTCCCTGGGCCCATTCCTTCCTCCCCACCCCCTCCTCCCAAGCTCTCCTCCCACCTCAGCCCTCCTTTCCAAGTCCTACTTCCTCGTGGCCCCCTTCTTCTCCATCCCTTCCTCCCTAACCCTTCCTCCCCATCCCTTCTCCCTCCCTAGTCCCTCCTCCCCATTCCTCCTCCCCCAGCCCTCTCCCCTCCCTCGCCCCCTCCCTCCCCACCTCCCTCCTTCCCCATTTCCTCTCCCCACCCCCTTCTCCCCATCACTCCCCCATCCCTATCCCTTCCTCCCCACCCCCTCCTCTCCAATGATCCTCCCTCCTCAGCCCTTCTCCCTCCCTTGCCCCCTCCCTCCCCATTCCTTCCCCCACCCTCTTCTCCCTCCTCATCTCTTCCTCCCCAACCCTCCTCCCCATCCCTCTTCCCTCCTCATCCCTTCCTCCCCACTCCCTCCTCCTCAACCCTCCTCCCCCAGCCATCTTCCCTCCCTGGCCCCCTCCCTCCCCACCACCTCTCCCTCCACTTTCCCTCTCCCCACCCCCTCCTTCCCATCCCTCCTCCCTCCCTATCCTTTCCTCCCTACCCCCTCCTCTCCAATGATCCTCCCTCCCTGGCCCCCTTCCTCCCCAGGCCCTCTCCCTTTCCATTCCTTCTCCCCATCCCTCCTCCTTCCCCAACTCTTCCCCCACCCCCTCCTCCCTATCCTTCTTCCCTCTGCATCCCTTCCTCCCCACCCCCTCCTCTCCAGTGATCCTCCCTCCCCACTCCTCCTCCCCGGCCCCCCTCCCTCCCTGGCCCCCTCCTCTCCAGCCTGCCTCTTCACCACTGTGGTAGAGTTCTCCCCCTGACCTGCTCATCTGCTGTGGCTTCTGTCCTATGTGCCCATGCACAGCCTCAGCCCATCTCTGCTGTGACCATGTACAGAATGTCAGTCCTTCTAGTTAGACTTAGCCTCATTAAAACCAGGACTTACCTGAAATTCAAACATAAGCTTGCATGTTCTTCTGTGTATCTACACACAGAAACAGCAGTTGGGATTAGTGGAACCCAAGCTTGGCTTAAATTTCGGACTCACAAAGCTAAATACTAATTGCTACTGATTGACATAAAGGGCAAACAGCCTTCACTTTGGCATCTGAAAAAAGACAGACGTGGCCAGGCATGGTGGCTCACCCCTGTAATCCCAGCACTCTAAGTGGCCCAGGCAGGTGGATCCTTTGAGTTCAGGAGTCAAGACAAGCCTGAGCAAGCAAGAGTGAGACCTCATTCTACAGAAAAAAAAAAAAAGAAAGGAAGGAAGGGAAAAACTAGAGGAAGGAAAGAAGAGGGAGGGAGGGAGGAATGAAGGAAAGAAAAATAGAAAAACTATCCAGGCATTGTGGTAGGCACCCCATTTCTACAGAAAAGAAAGAAAGGAGGAAAGAATGAAGGAAAGAAAAATAGAAAAACTATCCAGGCATTGTGGTAGGCACCCCATTTCTACAGAAAAGAAAGAAAGAAGGAAAGAATGAAGGAAAGAAAAGAAAGAAAAATTATCCAGGCATTGTGGCAGGCACCTATAGTCCTAGTTGCTTCAGAGGCTGAGGGAAGAGGATTGCTTGCACCCAATAGTTTGAGGTTGCTGTGAGCTATGACATCACAGCACTCTACCGCAGGGTGACAGAAACACTCTGTCTCAAAAAAAAAGAAAAAAGAAAAGATAAAGAAAAAACAGAAAGAAAAATAAATTACCAATCTTCTGTGCTAGAAATATATACCAGAGGATCATTGTATCTACAGATATCTGAGATCATATCATGTGGTACTGTACTCTGTAAACCTCCCTGGTGTATAAACTGTATAAACTGTACTCTGTAAACCTCCCTGGTGCATCGTCAGCACCAGCCAGCATCTATATAAGGCCCCAAACTCATCTCGTCATCAGAGAACAGGGACAGATGACAGGGGTGCACCATCTGAATGATGCCCAGTGACCTGCCGGAGACCCAGCCCATGCCACAAGACCCAAGTCTGAGCACAGTGGACTTCTAGACACAGCCACGTGTGAGTCCTTGCCCTGCCCAGTGGTTGAGGGCGAGGCCAGAGGCCTCTCTTCCACTCTGTCTGTCAGTGTCAGGAGCGACTTGGACATAAATGAGCTGCTGTGACAGTGCTGAGGGAAGGTGCTCTTGAGGTGTACATCTCCTCCAGCTGTCCTCTCCATCTGTGACTGCCTTCAGGCACCATCACCTGGGAGAACCTGGCTGCTGTTCTGCCCTTTGGAGGCACATTTGACCTGGTGCAGTTAAAAGGCTCCACCCTGAAGAAGGTCTTTGAGCACAGTGTGCACCGCTATGGCCAGTCCACTGGGGAGTTCCTGCAGGTGGGCGGTAAGTCACACACCCTGTGGGGCTAGCTTATCCATGGGGGATGTGGACTTCCTGCTGGTTGGCTTAGCTCTTCCTTTCAGGATCTCTGTAGCCAGGTTTGTTTGGACTTTCCCTGCCTAACACCAGTATGTCCTCTTCTAATGGCCGTGGACTGCAAAGCAATTGAGACCAGGTTGGGTCAGAGCTCCGAGCCCCACAGTGAGCTTGTTCTGCCAGGTCTGATTTGGATACAGGATGGGCCCTTCCCAGAGGCTGCCCTCTAAGCTCTAAGCACATCAGCTGCCTTGAGGTCTACTGTCTATTATAATCTTAGTTGTTGAAGCCATTCAGTATGTTTTCAAAACAGTCCTCTCTTTTGTTCTATTTGTAATTGCCTGGACCCAAGTCAGAGCTCAAAGGAGTACTGTCCCCTCAGTATTAAAGAGGGTGGGCCCAAGTGAGAATGCCTGCTTTTTTTTTTTTTTTTTTTTGAGACAAAGTCTCACTGTGTCACACTTTGGAAGAGTGTGTGGCGTCACAGCTCACAGCAACCTCAAACTCTTGGGCTTAAGCAATTAATTCTCTTGCATCACCCTCCCAAGTAGCTGGAACTACAGGCACCCGCCACAATGCCTGGCTATTTTTTTGGTTGTTGTTATTGTTTAGCAGAGGGGGCCGGGTTTGAACCCACCAGTCCCGGTCCATGTGGCCAGCGCCCTAACCACTGAGTTATGGGCGCTGAGCCAGAACACCTGCTTCTGATCCCACTGCAACCTGGGGCAAGTCCTCAGCCTCTCTGAGCATAGCCAGAAAACCTGCCCTGCTTATCTCAGGGATTGCAGTGAAGATGAAATGCAAATAAATGTTTCTAAAATTGGCAAGCTTCTGAAACACTTTTGTTAACAATTCCAAAAACCTGTGAATTACTCCTTTAATTAATAGCCTTATTTTATTCAGGAACCATTTTCTGGCCTCATTTTTTCACTTTAAACTGTGACCCCACTTGAGTGTAATTATGGGGCCCTTGGCCTGGGGGTAACCCAGACATCCTCGGCTTTCCTAGGAGGGAGTTGAGGGGACAGCAATGTTTGATTTCAGCAAAGTGCTGGGTGGCTGTTTGCTTTATGAAAGTCACCCAATACCAAGTTACTGGCATTTAATTCTCTGCAAAATTGTAGAGTGCTTTGTGCCTTGCATTTATTGTATTTCTGAATCAAGTTACTGGACCAATTAATTAAAGTTTTTAAAGAAAGAAAAAAAGATTTGGCTTCCCCCTACAAAGTCACCCTTTACCCATTCTGGACCAGAGATGGTTTTTCTTGCAGTGGTTCTTGTATCTCTTAGAAGAACTAAAGAATAAAGCTAATGAAAAAAGGGCAGCTGCAGTACTGCCCCAGTGTCCTTGGTGAAACCTCACTCAAGCTCAGATTCATGGAGACCAAGCCCAACACCCCTGTTCTAGACCCCTTTCTTAGAAAACAGAAGCCTCCCTTTGGGTCCAGTGAACACAGACTCATTTCTTTTCTAGGAATCCATGTGGTGTATGATCTTTCCCGAAAGCCTGGGGATAGAGTGGTGCAGCTGGATGTGCTATGCACCAGGTGCCGAGTGCCATCCTACAGCCCTCTGGACATGGACGAGGTGTACAAGGTGATCCTGCCAAGCTTCCTGGCCAGTGGTGGAGACGGATTCCACATGATCAAAGACGAGTTACTAAGACACGACTCTGGTGAGCACAAGGGTCTCTGCCTTCCCTCATCCCAAACACACTCAAGAACAGTGAAGCCGATGGGGAAGGGAGCTGTGCGTGGTGCTGTCCCTCTGCCCTGGACCTGCCTGCTTGTTGGGCAGCAGCCCTGGGAAATGTGTGCCTTGCCAGGCCCCACAAACATGCCCATCCAACCCCAGGAAAAAAATAATTTTAAATCAAAAATGTTAAAAAAAAATTTTAACTATATTTAAGCACCTATTTAAATTGAGAAACATGAGTTTTACATTTAGAGATAAACCAGACCTCTGGAACTTTGGATTGGATGTAGAAAACCATCATAGTAAATCATCTCAATATTCTTTCTTGAAGAAACTTTCAAGGTGAACAGATCAGGTAGAAATAGGTGGGCTAAAAGCTGCCCTTTCAGCATGGTAGGTTGATGGAACAAATCATAGACAAACAAAAGAGAGCCACTTTTTGACATTGGATGGTATTTTCGACCAGATGGATGGGGCCAGAGAAGGCACTCACGCAGCAGTGTGGGGACCCTAAGCACTCCCAACCTGGGAAGCATCTTAAATTAACTACCACACTTTTGGCCCCAGCTCTTAAGAGATTCTGATTTAGGCTCGGCGCCTATAGCTCAACCAGCTAAGGTGCCAGCCACATACACCTAAGGTGGCGGGTTTGAATCCCCAGCCCGGACCCACCAAACAACAATGACGGCTGCAACCAAAAAATAGCCGGGCGTTGTGGCGGGCGCCTGTGGTCCCAGCTACTTGGGAGGCTGAGGCAGGAGACTCACTTGAGCCCAGGAGTTGGAGGTTGCTGTGAGCTGTAATGCCATGGCACTCTACCCAGGGGGACAGCTTGAGGCTCTGTCTCAAAAAAAAAAAAAAAAAGAGATTCTGATTTAGAAATCTCTCCAGTGACACTGATATACACCCACGGGTGAGACCACTGACTGCAGAAAAAATTACTATATTTAAGTACTTCATTATTAAATATTAAGTATTTAATAAAATTATTTGGTCCATTTGGGTTTGTTGTAGCTATTAGGCAATTAGTGTTTCTTTATCACCTCTCCTCTCTTTTGGAAAGGAAGCCCCCATTGTCCCACCATCAATTATATGAAAATAATTCTTAAGCAGTCCAATGAAAGGAAGCCACTTTTGTGTCTCGACTAATTTTTTTGGCCTTGTTCCCTAATACCCCTGTTCTGGAGAGGTCCAAAGCCTACGCTGAGTCAGCTCAGAGCTGTGGCAACTGTCCTCTCCCTAGTACCCAGGATGGAACAGCAGCCACAATTGTCCTGGGATGTGGAGGAGCAGATTTCTTACACTTATGACCACCAGGGTCCATCTTCTGCTGTACTTCACCCCTGCTTATGAAAGGGATGTCTTTCCTCTTATAATTACAAAGGACTTTAAAGAAATACGTTGGCTTTTCCTCCACTCTTACTGTTAATTGATAGTTACTTTTTTTGTACTTAAGTAATATATGTACTTTTCCTAGGTGACCAAGATATCAACGTGGTTTCTACATACATCTCAAAAATGAAAGTAATTTATCCAGCAGTTGAAGGTCGGATCAAGTTTTCAGCGGGAAATCACTGCCATGGAAGCTTTTTTTTAATGTTTTTTTCATTTTTGGCATTAATCTTTGTTTCATACCAATAGCCAAAAATTCTCATTGCTGTCAAGGGGTGAAACTGCATTTCTTTCAAGTGAGATTCAGATCACCTGGCTTGGCGATTACCTGTGTCCTTGCAGGCACCCAGATCGCTGAGAGGAGGAGACTGGCATTTTCACTCAGGGTCAGCAACTTAATGAATTAAGACAAAAAAAATTAACCCAGGGCCCTAGGAGGAGAAAGCCAACTACATTTAGTTTACATATCTACATTTTAATAAAATTTCATTGACAATTTTAAACCATAGATATAATTTTTCTCCATTACATCCATTTCTAATCTATCAAACAACTTATGTTTACATAGAACTTTATTGTGTACAAGGGCTTACACACAGTCTCATTTGATGCCTATGCCTCTCTTTGGTAGCCAGGACAGATGCTTTTCCCATATGACAGATGAGGAGACTGAAGCTCAGAGGAGTTGATTTGTTCAAGGTCATAAAACTGACAGTGACAGATCTCAGACTTGGGACTCACAAACTTGCAACCACAAGTTGCAACTTCCAACTACATCAACTCGTTGTTCAGAATGACACATAACATCCCCTCTCTTCAAAACTATCAACAGCCCAAAGCTCCGGGGTGATGAGTCTGTTTCCTTGTTCGCCCCTGTTGTAACAGTGAGTGTAATGGTAAACACAAGCTGTCTCTCTCTTTCTTGCACCACCCATGTGCCTTTGACAAGTCGGGGACAAGCTGCAGTGAACAGGTCAGAGGCTGCTAACATCGGATAAGGGACAGGGGAGAAAGGAAAGGAAAACAGGACACCAGGACTGATTTACACTATAAAAGAGAAAGAACTAAAGAGTAGTTAGATGGTCAGCCAGAAATGTGCTCAGAGCAGCAACACACCCCTGACACACAGCGTGGCCATTCCTATTTCCTGAGACGACTCTGCATCTGCCTCTGTGTTCTTTCTTCTTCCCACTATGAAGGTCTCATGAGATGAGCATCTTCTAAGGTAAGCTCTACTTCTAAACCTGCACCTGCACCTGCCCCTCCCCAGCAATATTCTAGTTACACTACACACACCCAGCTATGTAAACACAGTGCCTTAGAAGACAGAATTGATTGTAAGTGGCAAACACAGGACATGTGACATTACTCCACCTCCAATTCTGAACAATCACTGTAAATCATTCTGAAGTCCAGGCATAAGAACTGCCAGGGAGTGAGATAAACCCATACTCATGAAATTATTAACTCCCAAAGAACAAATATTTAAGGCAATGGTGGGACCATGTGAGCCTTCTCAGTCTCACTTAAGGAATTTCAACAAGAAATGAGGGCTTTCCAGGGTGTCCAACCTATAGCCCATGCAACCACATGCAGAATATTAGAGAAATGTTCTGCTTATCTCTGTTGTCATATCCTGCATAAAGTCTGCACAAACCTTTTCTTGTGCTCATCAGCTCTTGTCGGTGTCCATGCATTCACTGTGTGGCTCAAGACAATTCTTATTCTTAACAGTGTATAGCAGAGAAGAAAAAAGGTTGGACACCTCTGAGTGAGCAAACAGCAGGTAGAAGTTTGGAGAGGAGTATGTGTTTTTTCTTTCTTTTTTTTTTTTGAGACAGCCTCAAGCTGTCACCCTGGGCAGAGTGTTGTGACATCACAGCTCACAGCAACCTCCAACTCCTGGGCTCAAGCGAGTCTTCTGCCTCTGCCTCCCAAGTAGCTGGGACTACAGGCGCCCACCACAATGCCTGCTATTTTTTGGTTGCAGCCGTCATTGTTGTTTGGTGGGCCCAGGATGGATTCAAACCCGCCAGCTCAGGTGTATGTGGCTGGCTAGCGCCTCAGCTGCTTGAGTCATGGCCGAGCCATGTTTCTTTTTTAATGTTTACAAATACTAAGTATTTGTGATACAAAATATACTTTTAAACTTCATAACTTTTTTTTTTTTGAAACAGTCTCACTATATTGCCCACAGCTCACAGCAAACTCAAATTCTTGGGCATAAGCTATTCTCTTGCCTCAGCCTCCCAAGTAGCTGGGACTATAGGTGCCCGCCATAATGCCCAGCTATTTTTCTGTTGCAGTTGTCATTGTTGCTTAACTGGCCCAGGCTGGGTTTGAACCATACACCCAGCCTTGGTGTATGTAGCTGGAGCCATAACCACTGTGCTACGGGTGCCGTGCCTAAACTTCATAACCTTTTTATCAAGGTTGTTACAGTAAAATAATGCCCTCAGTTCTATGTATATGCAGATTAGCTACTAAAAGAAAAAAAAAAAAAACCCAAGAATGTCAATAAAATTGACCAAGGAAAATTAAAGAAAGGTAGATTTGGGCTATTTTTATGCTTGGCCAGTAAAATAGGGTAACTCCTATTAGAGCACAATGTTTTAAAGAACATTTTTGTAAGTTTTTTAATTACATGTGTATGTGTTATGCAGTGGTATGAGAAATGACTTTGAGCCACTCTGCAATTATAGATTCCAAACAATAAAACTGAAGACAAGCTCTCTGATCTTTGATCATTGCTGCTTCTCTCAAACACTTGTCACTCAGGACAGTGTGATGACAGGAGGTAAAGTGATGGTTTCACTGGTGTCCTTAATCATAACCCCTTAACATATGATACCCCTTTGTCCATCTCCAAAATGAGAAGAAAAAAGAAAGAGTACTAAATTTCCTGGCTTTGATATACAGCATCTAATGTAGAACTGGTTTTGAGGCCTGTACTGGTTTCCCAAGCTAAACATGTCCAAGTTAGTGCTATTTTTGTTATCTGGCCTGGTTGTGTGCCCAAGACTCTTCCCTAAGCTTACTGATAACACAACAGGCCAGTTTTATTACAACTTGATCAATCAGACACATGAAGACCATCTGGTAGCTGTCTCTTTCTGCGTGGGCTGCTGTAAAAGAAGTTTACTTCTCACAGTTCTGAATGATGGAGGCTGCAGCATTGGGGCAGAGTCTGGTGAGGCCAGCTTCAAGGTTTACAGATGGTGCCCACTGCTGTGTCCTCACACTGTGGACACAGCAAGGTGGCTCGGGGAGACTCTTATAAGCAGCACTAACCTCATTCCAGCCCTCAGGAGACAGTCACCTCCCAGAGGCACAACATAGGTTTCAACACAGGAATTTTCAGAGGACACAAACATTCAGGTCATAGCCTGAATTGTAGCCACCTTCAACAGTTTGCTACAAAGATGGGCTGGGTTTCTTTGAAGGAAATTTAGGCTGCTAATAATAGTCGTCTGCTAGAAAAAGTTGTTCCCTCAGTGTTAGTCCCATGGGCACGTGGCCTATGAAGTGTCTACCATGTACACCATCAGGAGAGACACTCACATCAGTACTGGTGTCCTGGGACTGCCACAACACAGAGCCACAGACTCGGTGGCTGAAGTGACAATTGACTCACAGTTCCAGAGGCTGGAAGTTTGCTGTCAGGTTGGCAAGGGTGGTTCCTTCTGGAGTGGGAAGCAGTCTGCTGCTGTCCCCTTCCCCAGCACCTGGGGGCTTTTACCTGCTTGGCTCATACCTGGTATTATCTCCATGTTGTTACACCCTGTCCCTTTGTATAATCTGTCTCTGGGTTCAAGTTTCTCCTTTTTTTTTTCTTGAGACAGAGTCTCATTTTGTCACCCTCAGTAGAGTTTGTGATATCATAGCTCACATCAATCTCAAACTCTAGGGCTCAAGTGATACTCTTGCCTCAGCCTCCCAAGTAGCTGGGATTATAGGCTCCCACCACAACTCCCAGCTATTTTTAGAGACGGAGTCTGCCTCTTGCTCAGGCTGGTCTCTAACTGGACCTGGTAAGAAGTCTACCTGCATCAGCCTCCCAGAGTGCTGTGATTACAGGTGTGAGCCACAAACTTGGCCTCCAAGTTTCTCCTTTTTTGGAAGGCCATCAGGTCCACTCCATAATGACTTCATCATAATCATCTGTGAAAACCTGTTTCCAAATAAGGTCACACTGAGCCACAGAGAGTTAGTGCCTGTCCTGCCGCAGGACTTTGTCAGCAGTCGCAGTCCTGAGGTAATCACAGTTCCTGTGTCCCACATATTTTGCTCCGTAAAGCTTATAATTAATGTTGTGTGTGTGGTGCATGTGTGTGTATGTGCTGGCAAATAGGATACATTTTAAATTCCTTTGGCTCCATTACGGAAAAACAAAAGGAATTAGTTTTCTTTTCTGATACGGTCCAAAAGAGGAACTTTAGACTTTTATAACAAATTAGGGAATCTCAAATCTCTAGTGAATAGAAGTACCTCTGAGGTCTGTAAGAACATAAATAACTTCATGAAAAATACTCATTTAACAAATAAGCTGGCTGGGCAGGCTTACCATTTAACTCTGATCCATGACAAGGATGCTTAGCATACAAAAAACAGCAATGAATCAAAAGCCAAAAAAAAAAAGTCTAGGGAAAAAACCTACAGTAATAAAAATTATACAGGCTCATTTTTTATTAGGATATTTAGTTGCAAAACAAACAAACAAACAAAAGTGCTATAAGCAGAAACATCATCAGAATGGTTAGCTGGCTCCCACAATCACCCAGAAACTGTCTGAGTTTCTCAGACAGCAAGCAAGCAAAGTGTGTCAGGACTGAAACTTGCCTTGGGTGTCTCAGTACAGGGACCTGGAGCTGCAGGCCAGGCTGGGGTTGATTTATCTCTCCTGCAGTTCCACCCAAAAGAGCCTGTGGCTGTTCTTGTCCCTTGGTACTTGCCTCCATCAGGTGAGGCCCTTATTAACAGAACCTGGTTCCAGCCCACGTTGTCTTTACAAAGATGGAAGGCTGAGTGAGGCATTTACCCAACCTTTAAACAGGTCCTCATTCACAAGTAAGAGTCTCTGGTTCTGGGTAGTCAAGAATGTGAAAATGCCCCTATGAATAATCTGAGAATTTCCATGTGCCAAAACATGTATGAAATGTTAAAAACAGAAATTGTTACCTTCTAAGTATCTAGAACACTATACGGAGTCCCTAGTGCCCCCCAACGACACACATTCACGTATGACATTCAGATTTTTATGAAAACCAAAAATGCCAGGGAAGTGAACAGAACTATAGCCTTTTTTTTGTAAGATAATGAATAATGAAATCAGCCCCTCAGATATTTTAAGGTTATTTTGTTTTTCCCCAGAGTGCTAGGATTACTGGTATGAGACACCACACCTTGCTTTACATGTTGTTGTTTTTTTTTAATGTTAATCTCACTCATCTACTTATTTTTATTTATTTATTTATTTTGTTTTTTTAGAGGCAGGGTCTTACTCTGTTG